TCTAACACAGCTAGGCATACACCAGCACACAATAAGAGAGCAAGCATTCACTGACAAGCCGCAGTTTTATTATCAAGCTCATGTCATCTACAATTGGCTGTTTCCTACTGAGCCAAGAAAATTGGTAAATGTGTCCGGTCAATCTGGCTATCATGAAGGGTGACTTGTGTGCTCATTTCCTGTGTCTTTCATTACGCTACCAAAAAAATAAATAAAAATTCCTTTGTTGGCCTGCATTGCCAGGTTGGGAGGTCTGTTAAACTAATGAAATTATGCAGCACAGCTAAGCGCGGAGTCCATATGGAGAGCGCTTCCTCTGCATCCAGTGGGTCACCAACAAACCAGTCCATATCTGTCTACAGCATGTGAAGTTTGTTTTTAGTTACAAGGGGAAATCGTAAGTAGTGGTAAGCGAAGTATGGAGTCAACGGATAAATTATTTAGAATGGTTACTGGGATTTTTGAAAACGGGAAATAAATAAAACATTCCTTTCTAAAGCTGCGTTAAATCTCAAACAAACTTTCAGTCTCCTTATAATATCTGTTTATGTAATGAATGTGGGAAGATAAAAGACACGGGTGATGCACATTGCAATCAGACCTAATTTTCTGCTTTCCATCTTCCATAAAACTTAAATACAATTCCCACATAGGAGAGTGGAAACTGATTGGCTATTTGAGAGGCTACTACACTGCCCTCTGTCCCTCTCTCTTCTTCTCTCACTGCCTCATAATCTCTCAAATAAGCACTCAAATTCTGCCTACACCAGTTAGCGAGCATCTTCTTGTTCCCCACTTTCTCTGAGTTCAGCTATCCTCATTTCCTCCGGTTCATAAACAAGTAGCCTGAGACCTCTGATGTTTATTGTGACATCTTCTGCTTTAGCTCTGATTTGTTAAACATCATGATTTATTAATGAACGAGGATGCAAATATAGCTTTATACTCTGCTTTGCACAGCCGCTGCCGCGTCTAACCACTGTGAAGGCATCTATACGGAAACAAGCCCTTTCTCAACGATGACGATTAAACACTAGCGACGGTTGCAAATAAAATAAAAATATACATATTATCCAAACTTGTGTGTTCTGGGAAAAGAGATAAAATAACTTGGAGTTATTCCCCAGAGCAACACTCTTTGGTTTGACTGCACTTCCTCCCAGTTGTATCTATCATATCAGCTTTGGGTAGCATGAAGAGACATAAAAGTGCTTATTAATAATTTAATACTTCATCGTGGTGTGTTATGTACAGTAGGGGCAGGTTTATTTGAAGAAATACAAAAATAAACCCCAAGGCAAGATAATATTTCTTTTTGTACAGTCGAGCTCAAATAAAACATATCTGTCTTAGAGACTTAGTAGGCCCACAAGGGGACAAATAAACACAAATTGCAAAAGGTTTCTCGAAGTGTTTCTCATTTGCCATAACTGCCTACACATTTTATTGTTATACTGCAAAACCTGACAGCAGGTTTGAATATATACATGTTTACTAAACTTACTCTGTAGGAAGCTCCAGACCAAAGGAGTTATCGAAAGATGAAAGGAGAAAAAAAATGAAATAAAGAGTGCTTTTCTATTCATTGGCTCAGTAGCTACTGAAGTGTGGGAGCAATTTCAATACAATATACCACTGAGGCTTGGATAAGACTTTTTGGTTGAATCCTTAAAAACAGACCTACATGTGTGTGTGTGTGTGTGTGTGTGTGTGCATATGTGTGTGTGTGTGTGTGTGTGTCTTGGAGGAAGGGTGTTTCAAGGTTCGGACAAACGCAACATTGTCACGCTCATAAAAGAGAGGGGCTCTGTCACGGAGCCTGCCAGCTAAAGGCTTAAATCACATGCCTGGAATACACAATGACACTACACCCACACACAAACACACACAATCTCCCTAAATTATGCAGAGTAAGACCATCCCTCGAAGCATACCATTCTCAACATCTGCTCCAGTTAAAATGATGGCATGCATATTCTCAACCTAAACAGATCAAAAGAGTGAAAAATCTAAAGCAGAGTAAATGGGCAACTTTAATGGTCACAATCGCATCACTCAAAAGTTCCTTTTCCTGCCACACATACACATATGTGTGTATGTGGGGACACATAACAAATATTTATGTGTAAATATTGCAGTCCATGATTCCTGAACCCTGAGGAGGAATTTCGCTACAGACTGGCTTTATTACTCTGATTCCATTCAGAGGACATTCCTTACATGAACCATCAATATCATGGATTCACAATTCAGTGAATGTCAATCAGACCTGTAGCAGAGGAATGCTGTAAGAAGCGGCTGCTTTTGAAAAACCTGCTATAGCTGATGATTCCACATATATCCTTTCTTGATAGAGGAGAACTCTTTTAATAAACTGACGAGTGACAAGTCAGTAGATACTGGAGCCCTGCTTTTCTTGCCACTCTCATGTCAATGCGACCCCACAAAAGGCAGAATACCGCCACCTACAGACAGCTTTTACTGCCTTTTTTTTACAGAGCCACTCATATCTTATTAACAAGACTAATGTCTCACAGACATAACATTAAGTTTTTTTAATACAAGAACTAATACACAAGCTTATATCAGTGCCGCATCTTCTGTTTGACAAACCAGAGTTTTCAAATTTGGTCACAATAAAGACTTAAAAAGGAGAGCCTCTAAACAAGTCAGTAAGTGACTTCCAGTTTGGTGAATCTGAATCCATTTCCAGTCACTTTTAGCGCAGGCTCTGTTAAGCAAAAATATTACAGTCCATTCATCCTGAACCCCGAGGAATTTTGCTACAGACTAGTTTTATTATTGATTCCATACAGAGTAATTTCCTTTTACGCCTAAAGCGGAATTAGGCTTCGCTGTATATCATCCATCTCTTCTTGGGAATTCTGTTTACAAATGACAATATTCTCCACTATGTAATGTCCTTGCATGGTGATGAGGATAATAAGGAAAGTGGAGCTTTGCTGAATTCTTTATATCATTCATGTATTCAAGCTAAACACCATCTCACCCCCTCTCCTAGTGCAAATATTATTTGTGTAAACCAGCTCTACAGATGAAGACCACACATCGCGGGCAGTTAATGTTGCTCCACAATACACAGATGAAGCCAGCACCACAAAGGTGCCCTTGTGAAGAGGTGATATGTTCATCCGGTTTATTCATCTATTCATTTGTTTTTCCTACGCAGCCACAGCACTGTGGCAACCATAGTGACAGATAGACCGAGAGGCCTTGGATCGATAAAAGGGAAATTCTGTCTTTGTTTCCTGACATTTTTACCATAGACACTTTCCTGACTCAGGTTACTTACTGTCCATGCAAATGGAGTGAAGGTAGGAGGAAGGAGGAGGGAAGAAATTGATACCTTTCTGTACAGCTTCTGAAGAAACTTAATGCCTCAGGCCATCTCCCTCAACACAGGTTTCTATTGAATAATACAATAAAGCACCCATGCATTGAAGGGTCCTTCCATAAACAAGGCACTATAGAATGTGTTGATCCCTCTTGTTTTTTTGATGTTTTATTTTTGCCTTTAACAGTTAGGCAGAAAAACACACATAAACAAGTGTAAGACAGCCTAATGCAGTCCAATTCATCACGAGTAGATTAGCAGGGAAACTGTCTGTGGAATGGACCAGCAATTATTTTCTTCTTCATAATAGGAAGCATTAACAGTCTTTGTGCTGACCTCTGGCCTTCATAGCCAGTTCATAATAGAAGGAGGGCAAAGAATGTGAGACAGAACAACAGACATTTGCCTTCTTTCCTGGTGGAAATATGTCACTTCTGATCGCAATCATCGTCCCAAACACCATCGGGGAACAAGCAAACAGCGTAACCTAGACTATGATGGTTGAAGTCCCAGAGGATAAGTGGAGATAATAAGCATAACTGGTTTTAAATTGCACCTGTTTATTTTTTATATATATAGTGCTCTAAGATTACATCTGTTCTGAATAAGAAGTAGATGAACATAATAAATATGGGGAATAAATTTGTGCTATATTTGGGGAATGTAAATCAAGGCCTTTATCAAATAGCAAAAATAATTAACCCAGATAATAGAAACAATACCCATCAAAACTACATTTAGAAGGGACAGATATCAACCAAAACTAGAACAATAGTAAGAAAACAAGACACTGGTTAACTTTACTGTGACTGCCCATTAGGTGTTGTGGAATACACCACTGGCTTAAGCTGGGTTTAATCCTTGTCGACCACGACAGACCTTTAATGGGCTTAAGGCCAAAGACTCTGAGAACTTATCACGTTGGAGGCTTATGTACCCTACTACTTGGCACAAAGACGTATAAAGTAGTCAAGAAAATAAGTACAATCTCCTTATCGCCAGGAATTAAAACCACTAGAATAAGTATGAAAGGAACTGTAAAATATCATGACATACTAAATAGTTATTGATTAGAAATAGTTTCCTCTTCATATAAGCTGTTGTTTTAACCACCTAAATGCATTACATACTAAATACATAGTTGTGTTTTTTTGTAGATAATTCTTTAGTAATTTAAATTGGCATTAGGCCTAAGAAATAGGGCCTATTTTATAGCCAGATAGCAATTATAGGACAATATAATATTTTAGTTTCTGGGACAAATAGCTTTCTCCTACAAGAACAGAAAACTTTAAAGGGAAATAAAAACAACTGCACAGAGGCTGACCTGAAAAAAAAAAAAAAAAAAGATAAAAGTTGTCACATATTTCCGGGACAACAGATTTGCGTTGATGTCATCGGCTCTGTTCTATGTGAGCACCAGAATGGCAGTTTAATCCTTCTAATGCTCACCCCTCCCTTGCATCTTTTTTTTTTTCTATCACTGCTCCTGGGTCGCTCTGCCACTGTCTGTCCTTGTCTTTTTTGGTTTTTTTCATTTAAAGAAACAAAAGTAAGTGCTGATGTGGGAAATGGGAGCTTTGTGCACCTTGTGATGTAAAAACGATGGTACCACAGTGAAGGAGAAGAATGCAATTTCTCTTACCTGTATGATGGACATGCGGTTAGTAGGTGTGTCTGTAGTGCTGGTGACTGGGCCTGTGAAGCTGGTGTGGCATCCCACGTGGCTTTGGGGCACGCTGAGGTTATTGGCAGTGGGTTTGAGGTACATGACCTCTGACCTTGGTGAGCTGAGTGGCAGGCGTGTCTGATAGTCAAAGTACATGGGAGAGGTGGCCAGGGAAGGGCTGCTTACCACATTCATCACATTCATGGCATCCCGCTCCTCCACTTCGCTTTGCACCAGCATGATGTCGTTCTTGTTTATCTTCTTCTTCTTGCCTTTACCCAGCTGTGGGTGCGAGTACTCTGCAATGCGACAATTATAAGTACGAATTTCCTTGTTCTCCCGCTTGCACTTGATTGCTATGGTCACCATGGCAGCTAGAAGCATGATAGATATGATGCTCAGAGTCACAATAAGAGGCAGTGACATGTCCCAGTTTTGATTGTCTTTCATGTGTGGTAGTCCATCTGGAGGACGCCCGTTGGAGGCCTTGACAATGAGTCTTGCAGCGGCAGTTAGAGTTGGCTTGCCGTGGTCTGATACACGAATGATCAACTCAACAATGGGACTTACATCATCCCAGAAAGGGTGAGCGGTTCGCACCTCCCCAGTGACAGGATCAATCTCAAAGAGGTGTTCTTCGTTGCCATCTGATATTTCATAGGTGAGTCTTCCGCTCTCGCCATAGTCGTTATCTACTGCTCTCACTGTGGTAACAATGTAGCCAACGCCAACATTTCGTGGAACGTGGATTTCAGCTGTGTCATTCTGGAGAAGTGGCAGAACTATGACAGGGATGTTGTCGTTGACGTCTAAGACACTAATGCGCACAGTAGCATTGCTCTCTAAGTGTGGAGATCCTGCATCTTTAGCAAGAACTTTGAAGTCAAAATACTTTATTTGCTCATAGTTAAAAGATCTTACAGCATAGATGGCTCCGTTAGCGGCATTTACATTAACATAGGTGTTGACATCACCCCCACTCACGTTGGAGTTGATAATACTGTAGTACACAGTGCCATTCTGGCCTAGGTCTGGGTCGTGTGCAAGAACTGAACCCAGGTACTCCCCAGGGATGTTGTTCTCAGGAATTTGAAGTAGGTAGACTGACTTGGTGAAGCGAGGAACATTATCGTTCTCGTCAAGAATCTTCACCGTAAAAGATTTTGTGGAGTTTAAAGGAGGACTGCCATTGTCTTTGGCTACAATAGTAACGTTGTATTCATCCTGCACCTCTCTGTCCAGGGGCCTGTCTGTAACCACTGTGTAGAAGTTATCATAGTTCTCCTCGAGTTTAAAGGGGACATTACCCAACACCCTGCACTGGAGCTGCCCATTTCTTCCAGAGTCCTTGTCTGTGACACGGACCAGAGCAATGACAGTGCCTGGGGGTGCTGCTTCACTGATGGCTCCCTGTCTCACAGACACAAAGCCTATAGATGGCCAGTTATCATTCCTGTCAAGCACTTTAACGGTGACTTTACAGTGGCCCGGGATTGGATTGGGACCTAGATCTTTCGCCTGAACGTCAATCTCGATAACTGAGCTCTCTTCATAGTCAATTTCCCCCTGAATCTTTATGACCCCTGTTCTAGAATCTATTGAGAATAGCTCACGGATTCTCTCAGGGGCATAGCCACTAAACGAATAGACTACTTGACCATTGTTTCCTTCATCAGGGTCTGTAGCATTTAAATCAATTAAGACTTTTCCAGGAGGTGAATTTTCAGGAATTTCTACAACGTATGAAGATTGATCAAATACTGGACTGTTATCGTTGGAATCTATAACTTTAACATTTATCTGCATTGTACCTGATCTAGAATATTCTCCACCATCAGTGGCTGACAAAATGAGAGTGTGATGGCTTCGTTCTTCTCTGTCCAGTGGACGCTGAATGACTAATTCTGGGAATTTGGTCCCATCCCCTCGGGATTTTACCTCCAACGAAAAGAGATTGTAGTCATCGCGAGTTATTTGATACGTTTTTAGGCCATTTTCCCCTGCATCAGGGTCATGTGCGCTGGTCAGAGGAAAGCGTGTCCCTGGCACTGCATTTTCAGAAATGTCGATGTCAATTTGATCAGAAGGAAAAACGGGTGAGTTGTCATTGATGTCCTGAATATCTATTTTTATCATGCATATCTCCTTGTCATTGGCAAACACCTCCATGGAGAGCTGGCACTTGGGGTTTCTCTTACACAATGTTTCCCTGTCGATGCGCTGCTTTGTGTACAGCAGTCCGCTTTGGGGGTCCACGTCGATAAGATGTGGGGCTGAGTTCTCCAACACCCTAAAGTTGGCTTTCTTACCCTGTCCTCCCTGCCCGATCTGTTCAAGTCCAAGCCTGGCATCTTTGGCAATGTTCCCAATCACTGTTCCTGGTCCCTGTTCCTCTGGGACAGAGTAATTCAAGTTTTTCAATGTCAAGGCTTGAGCCCACAACAGGAGGAAAAAGAAAATAGAAAGATGCATCTCCACTCAGTAAAAGCTGCTCAAATCGGTGCAGTGATTATTCTACCTGTGACCTGTTGATATTCTGTTCAGATTTGATACTTCTATCACGACGGATAAAGAAAAGAGTCCAGTTCATCATGTGATGTCTTGACATTTGTCGCTTGTAGATTGTCTTTGCTTTGTTGCTTTCTCTCCTCAGCAAGCAATCTGTGGTACTGAACGCCTAATTTATATTCAGCTGAGCACCCAGACTCATCTTAACAATAATCGAGATCCAGACTCCAACAGAATAGTCATTGTAAGTGTTCACTCATATCACCTAAGAAAGGAAAAGGAGAAAAGAAAAAAAAAAAACATGTTATGTGAAAATCAATTAGTAAATCGAATAAAAACAAAATGAGCTACAAGCCACCCTGCCAGAGAGAAATCAGATGAAATCAGATTCACTGCCAAGCCAAAAATGAGACACAGCTCATGTGTAATTCATCTACACAATTATGAGAGAAGATTGTTAATTGGTTAACCTTGGAAGGCGCTCAGCCCCATAAATACACGGGCAGCAAGTATTCTCCTGCAGCCCATACATAACAAAATCCAAGATTCTGCAGGCAGTTTCAAATCTATATGTGGTGTGCATGCATCATCTGACCCCGGAGAGATAATGACCCATACATTTGTTGAGGGTGCTGACTGAAGTGTAACAGGGCAACTTTAATAATGCGGTAACGCCGCAGGCGTAAAACTGAGGATGGCCTATTGTAAGGGCTATTTGAAGGAGTGAATATAAAATGATCGTCTTACGCGCATTAACAAATCCGCATAATCCGGATATTTAAAATGAGCCTTATAAAAAGTCAGAAATGAGCTGCCAACATCTCAGCACTGCCGTTTAATTCTCTCCACTGCTGCTCTCTGTTTCCTCAACTCTGCTTCTCTCTAACGCTCAACAGTCCTTGAGAGAAGCTGTTGCGTCCGCATGTACGGGAAAAGGTTATGGAATAACACCGGTTTGAGAATGAGCAACAGTGAGAGCTTCAGGTGGAAAATCACGAAAGCGGATAAGACACAAAGAATATATATATATATAAAAAAACACAATCTTACCACGGGAGAAACTGTTCCGCTAGTTCAAAAGGGTAACAGTAAAAAAAAAAATCAAAACAGTCAATTCCAGCGCGATGAAGAGATTGTTTAATTTCCACTTCACTAAAGGTACCACCCGTATCCTTCTTCTCCTCCGTGAAGTAGGAAAGCCACAAGCCTCCGATGCACACGCACTCTACAGTACAGCGCAGTAGAAATAAAAAAAAAAGTGCTCCAAAGTATGACTGTAATGTCAATGAGCTGAAGTCCTCTCTCCTGTCTGATTAGGATGCAGCGGCTCGCCTTCTGCCTGCAGTGAGTCACTGTTCTTCAGGATGGAAAACTGTTGTCAAAATTACTGTGTGGAAGAAAGAAAGAACAAAAAAAGAAGATTCCAGATGTGTGGAAAGGTAGCCGATATCCACGGTGGACATTTAAAGGGCGATCGGTGTTCTCTCCCCACGTCCGAGACAGCTCAGAGTTACTGATTCCCGTAGTGGCATTTTGTCCTTGTGCGTCGTCCCCCCGTCAAAGTGCGCAAAGACAGACGGACAGCTGCTGTGTAAGTGGTCAGCAACAATGCCGCATTTTAGGATAAGTCCCCATGCTGCTGTCAGAGAAAATTTTGATTTTTTTTTTTTTTTTAACTACTCAAGCCAAGTCATCACTTACTATTTTCAGCACGTAACACAGCCCTAAGCACAGCAAGCGCTTCCTCTCACTGACTGGACTCCGGACACCGCATGGTGCATTAAACATTGTCGCTACTCCTGTGGCAGCCAATGAATTTGAAGAGGTGGGAAGAGAAGGAGGGATTCAAAAGCCGCCGTGGGTACAGACTACAAATGATTGGTGGGTCTTAGTTCACCGGTGGCGGATCTGTCTTTTTTCAAATATCACACTTCATTGTTGTGCGGGGCTACAATAAAGGAAACGGTGCGTTGAGCACGGTCACCAACGGATGTGCCGAGGCCAAACCCAAGTGGTTTGAAATTTCAGTTAGACTGGGAGGAAGAGAAACAGACCAGTGAATTCCCTTCCCCGCTAACTGAATAAATAATAGCCACGTCTCCTTTTTAAAATGAGTGGCATAGTTTAAAAAAAAAAAAAACATTGTCATTTAAATACAAACAAACGGATTCTGTTGGGTTATTTTTGTACATGCAAAAGTATTTATAGCATTTAAAGGTATCCTATTTTGTACAATCAGAAAGTGTAATATGTTTGGATTTTATGTAATAGAGCATACAGATGTAGACTTTTTAAGAAATCTGAAAAGTGTGGTGTGCATTTGCATTCCCCTTCTCAATATACAGCAGAATGTTTTACCCCTTGGTATTAGCAAAACAACTGCGGAGCATACTGAAAGGGTTCCATTTGTGAACAACAGATTTTTTTATTCATTTATTTTTAGTCTTGAAACATTTTCAATTTGATTTTGGTTTGAACTTTCACTTTCTTTGCAACACATGGGTGTGGTTTGATTTCTAAGCCATTAAGCCATTTCTCTGACTATTTATTTTAGGTCATTTTCTCCTGAATGGTTAACATCTTGGAGAGTTTTGCAGCCTCTAACAGGTTGTCCTTCAGGATTGCCTTGTATTTAGGTCCCTCCATCTTCCAATCAATTCTGATCAGTCTCCCCCTCTCTCTGTTCCAGAAAAAAATAAAATAAATTCAGCATGATGTTGCCACCACCATGTGTCACAATAGTGATATTTTAGTCCATAAAATGCATTAATCGGATTGAATGTACAGTATTTGGGTTAAATAATGCAAATGTATCATTTATATGGGCACAATTTCATTTAACTTGATCATGATGTGTTTATGTGCCCCGGGACTTATTCAAAAAAGAAGCATGCATGTCTGCGCAGAGCATAAAGACAAACGCAGTAAGCACTTGTGTTTGTTTTGGGTTTTCTGAGTGCCCAAAATGGACCTGAACCATAAAAAAAGGTTAAGACTTTACTGCACTCCTAAATTAAGCTACAGGCTAAGCATATGCTTATGGTCTTCCAGTGTCACAGGACGAGAGAATGGGAGGCAATTAACATCCTTCAAAGTTTTAACCATAGCAGGTCAGTTTTAGACCAGCTTTGCTTTCCCACTAGTTGATATAGCCGCGACATGCGCAGTCAAGTCAGTTTGCCACAATCAGATAGACATCAACAGAAGAAGTGTATACATGCACCGCATTTTGAATATCAATCACTAGAAGCCATCACTTTCATTTGGATTACAATTTAATTCCTATTGTGCTGAATCCGATGTTAGATATCATATTTTTATTTCAATTGGCAGGTTATACCAATTAGATATGAGAAAGAGGGAGAGGGAGAGAGAAGGGGACTGAGCCGTCTCCACGGTTTTGCCCTTTTGGCACTGCACAGCCGGCCCGGTCCCATCCTGCTCCCTGGCCTGGTATAATCTCACAACTTCCTAGTCTGCATCAGTTGTACAGAATCAAATATCTCAAAGTTTTCAAGTTGATCTGGAGGATGAATCTGCACTCTGAAAAGGCACTTGTAATGCCAGTGTAGCACAGTCACAGATTTTAATGGTAAATGTAAATAACATTTCTCCAATTGAACTGATCAGAAGTCACCAAGACTGTGAATGAGGGGATTTTCCACATCTGGCTGGGAAATCTCACAAGCCTTAGTGGTAGTTCAACAGTACCAAATGTGGGTTCAGTTCTGAGAGAACACTTAGATGAGAATTTTTTTTAGTTAAAGGTAACGCTGAGATAATTATTTTCCTCAGCTTCTTTGCTGACAAGCGCGTACAGAAGGAGCTAGACGGGATAACCAAGAAACTATTCTGCAGACACAACAGTCAGCTGAGGCCATACTTTCAGTCAATAGGCAGTGCTGAGGACAAGACTGTCGCAAAAATGTATAAATATAACCGACACCTGTAAGAGAAGCGGCATTTCAAGATTAGTGATCTTATATAATAATAAATTATTATGGGTCTGTTTGGAAGAGCGGTTTTTGTTAAAAATTTAAATGTTGATTAAATATTGTACAAAAGTAAGAATGTCTGCTTTTGTAACAAAACAAATACTTAAAATGAATCAAAGTATCAACAATAAATCATTTGGAAAGCAAAATGATTTATCGTGCAAAACGTTCCTAATGCCAATTCTTGCTAAAATATGGGGTAAATAAATGATAAGAGCCATTTGGGAGTGGCTCTTCTTTGGGAGCCAAGTTATAAGAACCGGGTCCCTGAAAGGAGTCAGACTTTCCATCTCTAGTTCAGGGTGATGTGCCAATTTACTTTTCTGCCATAGGACAAAAAATTAAGTTATGGTGTCATCCTATCATGTTTGTTGTGCCCCCTGAATGTCTTGTGGCAAAATGTAAATATCTTATCTTTTTTTTTTTTTTTTTTTCTTTTTTTTTTGAATAATGGCTTTCTTCTTGCCAGTCTTCGATAAAGGCCAGATTTATGGAATGTATTTTTATTTGCACTGTGAATTTTTTCCATATTTTATTTTTCATTGGCAGATAATAGATTGGACAACTTTATTAGTGACTTTATTTGTGCCCTTCTTTGTCATCAAAAAGCCAAAACCCTGAGTCCTCCACAGAACACCTTTATTGCTTTATTTATACTGAGATTAGCGTCTTCATATTTATATATACTCTATTTACTAATTAGCTCAATTGTAAATGCAGCAGTTTGTGCTGGATATAACTTAAGGGTTTCCCAGAAGCAGAGACTGAATACAGATGTGTCAAACTTTTCAGATTTTTTTTTTAAATAGAAAGCCATGGGTATTTTTCTTTCCATAAGTCTGTCACATGAAATCACACTAAAATACTTAGAAGTTTATTTTGATGACATCTGGAAAGGTACAAAGGGCATCAACACTTTTGCAAGGCACTGTAACCATTACACACTTTTTTTTCTGTATATAACACAAGAACACATGGTAACGTCAGTAGTCTTTAGGCATTTCTTGAAACTGCTGCAAAAAGAAGTGTTTAATAAGGTGTGAGAAAGAAAGTAAAAAAAACAGTTTGAAAAAGAAGTGTTTGGAATATTGCATAGACTACATATTGGCAGTGTGCTCATATATAAGGCATTTTTCTACATGAACTCAAGAATGCCTGGAGAATGTATGCAAGGAATTAGGTAGAGTTTCACCAAAGGTGTTGTTCACGCATTCACTTCACAGTGGGACATTCTCCACTGGGGAGGCGTTCTCACAACAGAATACTCTGCAGGCTGGTGCTGTGGGGTAGCACACAGAGACCACAACATGATGGAGAAACCTGTGCAGCAGGAAAAAAAAAATGCAGTTGTATATTTACAGCATGTTCGTAATGACAGATGCAGCTCCCCATGTCTCTGTTGTGATGAGTACTGATATCATCCCCACATGAATTTTCAGCTGTAATAATGGTAAAAAAAAAAGAAAAGAAAAAAAAGAAAGACTATTCTCCTTCCAGGGTCCACTGTTTTACATATAGTATAATATCTATCCCTATCAGGGTCTGACATTACTGAAATCATATTTCAAGTGACAAAAAATACAATGTATTCTACACTGTCATGTATCTAAATGGAAAGCACAAGAAAATCCAGTAATGCATCATTGTTCAATAGCTTGTTGGACAATCTTTAGCTGCAATAATTTACAGTAATAATTTTCTTTGTTTACTAGGCTCATACACTGTTATGACAAATTTTAGTCCACCTGCCTTTACACTACTATTCTGATTAGAGAAAAGCTATAATATTTTAGATGGATTGAGATCTGGACTTTTATTTGGTAAGAGGATCTGGTCTTTCCTGCAATGCAAGCCCAAATAATCACCCTTTGCTTTGTTACTAAGTTTTATATATTTTCAGTAATTAAGTTCATTTATGTTGGTCGAAACGGGGGAAAGCCTGCCTCGTGTGTTCTTTTTAGGAACTGCAACTTAGCAATCTTTTGTTGTTTTTAAGCAAAACTTTATTGAACAGCAGTAGCAGTCAAGGAGACAGTTTGGCGTCCGCATCCACTTTGTGATGTCCGGTTCAAGTGAAAATCTGCAGACATCTTTCGTTCATGGCTGTATTGCTGGTATGTACTGCACGAGTAATTATGTGGGATTGTTTCTGTGCTCGATGTAGCTTCCTAAAGTGGTATTTGACTGCAAAATAAGTTTTCTTTGTTGTGTAATTTAACCGCGAGTTGAGAAATTACTTAAGATGGCGTCGGTAGCCTAGATGTATACATATAGATGTTCAGCATAAATTCAGTATAAAAGTTCAATTTATTCAGCACATATTCATATATTTATTGTATTCTTTTTTTCAGTTTTACCCTTTTGATTGTTAATAAACCTGCTGACAACGGTCTTCGGTCTTCTGAGTTTTGATAAAAGAAAGGTGTTAGCTACCTTTTGCATCAGACCAGTAACGGCACGCCCTTCATATATGATAGTCGGCGTTAGGAGTTTGGATGATTTTTCACCAAGCATGCGGTATATTGAGGTCATCTCTTCTTTGATCCCACCGGTTCAATATACATTGCTGAAGGACTTGTGTTTCTTTACAAACCTGGTTTGTGAAGCCTTATTATGTTTGATTTTCTCCTTTCAGACAAGCTTTACTCTGTGTTATTTTTAATTTTGTCATGAACTACATTAATGCACTGAATGTAGGAATAGTTTGATGTGCCTGTTTAAGTCCAAACATATATCTATTAATTAATTCAGTCATCAATCAAATGATGCTTATTGCTTAATTTATTACCTAAAAAGATGTTTGACAAAGCTT